GTGATATCCCCAACTCCCTGCTTTGCTTACTTTATTTTGCTCTACTCTCCACAAATGACAGAAAATATTCGACCCTTGATTTTCTGAGACTGGCGTATTTTCACTTAGCATGATGTTCTCCATATTCATCCACTTACCAGCAAACACCATGATTTCATTACTTATGGCTGAGAAAAACTCCATTGTGTAAATCCACATTGTCTTAATCCATTCATGTATTGATGGGCTTATGGGTGGATCCAATAATGTGGGTATTGTAAATTGGGCTGCTATAAACGTTGAAGTGACTGTATCACTGTAGTATACTGATTTTAGTTCTTTCAGATAAAAACCAAGGAGTGGGATAACTGGGTCTTTTGGTAGTTCCATTCCTGGTTTTTTGAGGAATCTCCATACTGCTTTCCAGAGAGCTTGGATAGTCTGCCGTCCCCCCAACAATGTGCAAGATTACCTTTTCCCCAACATCCTTGTCAGCATTTATTTATTTGTGTTCTTGATCATTGCCATTCTGACTGGAGTGAGAGAAATCTTAGTGTAGTTTTGATTTGCATTTCCCTGATGCTAGAGATACATTTGTTGGACATTTGTGTTTCTTCTTTGAGGGATGTCTGTTTAGTTCTCTAGCTACTTATTGATTGGGTTATTTGATCTTTTGGTATTATTTCTTGAGTTCTTTATATATTCTGTATACTACTCCCCTGTCAGAGAAGCGGTTGTCATGCTCTTGCTTACTTTGCTGTTCAGAAGATTTTGAATTTCATGTCTTACCACTTATTAATTCTTGATTTTATTTCTTGAGCTTTAGGGTTCTTTTTTTCTTTTTTATTTGTTCTAATTAGTTATACATGATCGCAGAATGCATTTCAATTCATTGTACACAAATGGAGCACAACTTTTCATTTCTCTGGTTGTACACGATGTAGAGTTGTACCACATTTGCAGTCATACATGTCCCTAGGGTAATGATGTAAGAAAGTCAGTGCCAGCACCAATATGATGGAGTGTGCACACTGTGCTTTCTTTTAGCAGTTTTATTGTCTAAATCCTAAGTATTTGATCCATTTTGATTTGACTTTTGTGCAGGGTGAGAGATAGGAATCTAGTTTCATTCTTCTATGGATATCTTCGGTGGGGGATTATTCTTTTTAGATATCCATGACAGTAGAGTGTATTTTGACATATTAGACATACATGGAGTATAACTTCCCATTCTTATGGTTGATGTGGTGTTTCACTGGTCATGTAGTCACATATGAACATGGGAAAGTTATATCCAATTGATTCTACTGTCTTTCCTGTTCCCATCCCCCTCCCTCCCCTTCATTTCCCTTTGTCTAATCCAATGAACTTCTCTTCTTTCCCCAACCCCCTCCCTGGACATCCAGTTTTCTCAGCACCATTTGTTTAAAAGGCTATCTTTTCTCCAACATATACTTTTGGATCATTTGTCAAGTTATCAGATGGCTGTAAACATGTGGGTTTGTCTGTCTTCTGTTCCGTTGGTCTTCATGTCTATTTTGATGTCAATGCCGCACTGTTTTTGTTACTCTCATCTGTGTGTCATTGATCAGGTATTGCGATGCCTCCTGCATCACCCTTCTTGCTTCGTATGGCTTTGGCTATTCTTGGTCTCTTATTCTTCCAAATGAATTTGAAGATTTTAAAATTTAAAATTATTTCTAATTCTGTGAAGAATGTCATTTGTTATTCTGATGTGGATTACATAGAATCTCTATATTGCTTTTGATGGTATGACCCTTTTGACAATATTAATCCTGCCTATTCAAAAACACAGGAGATCTTTCCATCGTCTAAGGTTTTCTTCACTCTCTTTCTTCAGTATTCTATAATTATCTCTTTTTTTAAAAGTTGGTTATTATTTATAGTATTATTGTAAGATGCAGAAGAGTAGGTACATCTTCTTTACTGAGGTATTTCTTTTTTAGCTCAGAAAAAAAATCATTTTGAAACTGTATTTCATTATTGAAACATAATCTAGTAAATACCACACCAAAACAGAATCCATCAAGTACCATAAAGTAGAATATATTAAAAACATCTGTGCTTTCAGTTCAACCTTACAATATGCTTCCCACACAGTGTCATTTGTTCTAACATTGTATCTTTGGGTTTTACAAAGCTTTTCATGTATAGTCACAAGGTATTTGCTGACAAAGGAATGCAGTTGTTTTTTTTCCATTTGTGTTCCATGTATTATCTCAGACCTTTTAACTTGGCATGAAGACAGCTACTTTCTCAATGGTTTGTTGCTTTTTGACTTTCATTTTTAAGAAAACTCAGAAGCTTTTCAGCATTTAGTATTGGTGATTTTCTTTAAAGTATGATTTGACTAGTACAATACATAGGCATGCTGGGAGAATTCTTGAGTTTCACCTCATATGTGGATGTTTAGGTTTTAAAGGGTAGCCAATTGTGATTGTTTCAGAAGATCATTATCTATTAACTACAATATGTACTTTGGGCGAAGTCAATGTTCCCAAAAGTAGATGTGAATTCACACTTTAAACAGTGTTCTTTTTTTTATTTTTTTTAATTTATTTTTTTTATTGGTTGTTCAAAACATTATAAAGCTCTTGACATATCATATTTCATACATTAGATTCAAGTTGGTTATGAACTCCCAATTTTACCCCAAATACAGATTGCAGAATCACATCGGTTACACATCCATATTTTACATAATGCCCTATTAGTAACTGTTGTATTCTGCTACCTTTCCTATCCTCTACTATCCCCCCTCCCCCCCCTCCCATCTTCTCTCTCTACCCCATCCACTGTAATTCATTTCTCTCCTTGTTTATTTTCCCATTCCCCTCACAACCTCTTATATGTAATTTTGTTTAACAATGAGGGTCTCCCTCCATTACCATGCAATTTCCCTTTTCTCTCCCTTTCCCTCCCGCCTCATGTATCTGTTTAATGTTAATCTTTTCTTCCTGCTCTTCCTCCCTGCTCTGTTCTTAGTTGCTCTCATTATATCAAAGAAGACATTTGGTATTTGTTTTTTAGGGATTGGCTAGCTTCACTAAGCATAATCTGCTCTAGTGCCATCCATTTCCCTGCAAATTCTATGATTTTGTCATTTTTTAGTGCTGCGTAATACTCCATGGTGTATAAATGCCACATTTTTTTTATCCATTCATCTATTGAAGGGCATCTGGGTTGGTTCCACAGTCTAGCAATTGTGAATTGTGCTGCTATGAACATCGATGTAGCAGTATCCCTGTAGTACGCTCTTTTAAGGTCTTCAGGGAATAGTCCAAGAAGGGCAATAGCTGGGTCAAATGGTAGTTCCATTCCCAGCTTTCCCAGGAATCTCCATACTGCTTTCCAGATTGGCCGCACCAGTTTGCAGTCCCACCAGCAATGTACAAGTGTACCCTTTTCCCCACATCCTCTCCAGCACTTGTTGTTGTTTGACTTCATAATGGCTGCCAATCTTACTGGAGTGAGATGGTATCTTCGGGTGGTTTTGATTTGCATTTCTCTGACTGCTAGAGATGGTGAGCATTTTTTCATGTACTTGTTGATTGATTGTATGTCCTCCTCTGAGAAGTGTCTGTTCAGGTCTTTGGCCCATTTGTTGATTGGGTTATTTGTTTTCTTATTGTTTAATTTTTTGAGTTCTTTGTATACTCTGGATATTAGGGCTCTATCTGAAGTGTGAGGAGTAAAAATTTGTTCCCATGATGTAGGCTCCCTATTTACCTCTTTTATTGTTTCTCTTGCTGAGAGAAAACTTTTCAGTTTAAGTAAGTCCCATTTGTTGATTTTTGTTATCAACTTTCATCAGAAAACTCGACTTCATTATTTCCTCTAGCCTATAAAATGAAATATTTCTATCACGCCAATTTTGCCGATAAGAAAATTGATCAAACAGCTATTAAGCAGAAGAGCAAGGATTTAGTGCCAATACTAACTGCCTCCATCATGGAGACCTAATATTTGTGCTGCGTTGTCTCCTCGTGTGGAGAAGGTCTGTATGTGGTCCAGGTTGACCTGGGTGAGGCATTTTCTTGAGGGAGCCATGAGAATATGGTTGGATCAAAAAGCCAGAATTATGTCAAATCAAAGTCAAGCACGTGCAAAAGTGAACGAGGTCAGCAGCCCCGGCTTTATCCTAATCAGCACTGTTAGTTCTAGCTACTGCTTCTGTTCAGTGAGGTGTTTTCTATTGAATTTGGCACCTAGATCCTTCAAAGTAAATGATCTGACCACAGATAACATTCCTTCTTAGGAGGTCCTCAGGAGTTCCCTTCAAACTTGAGCCAGGAGAGCCCTGTCACACTGTTCTCCCATGGGAGCACCTGGAGTTTGGAAAGAATTCCCACCAAAAGATTTATAGAACTAATAAACATTTAAAATCGACATCATTGTGTACCCTTCTCATTATTTTTTCAATATGTTAGTATTAATTGTAGTCTCCTTAAACTTTGTTTTAGAAGCTACGAGTCTTTTTAAGGTTTTTTTAAAAAATCTGCTGTACCCGTGAGCTTAGATATGCATTTAACAAAAATATATTTAAATGAAAATGCTCCTTCATCTAGTGTAGAAAAGATAATATTATCCTGAATAATAGTCTGCATGTGCTTTCCCAGTTAGATGACCAAATCCCCTGAGTAAGCACTATCTTGAATTTTGTATTATTTATTTTTTTAATAATTTTATTATTTATGTCCATAAATAAAATGTTCATTAGTATTTATGCTTTTATTAGTACATTATAGTTATTCACTAGTTTTACATGAATTTATTACAGTTTATTAGTTTTATTCATTATTAGTATTCATTATTTTTAAATTTCTATAAGTAAAATAATAACACATATTGCTTTTTAACTTGTTATATATGACAGCAGAATGCATTACAATTCATACTACACATATAGAGCACAAGTTTCATATCTCTGGTTGTCTTCATACATGTATTTAGGGTAACGATGTCCGTCTCAGTCCACCGAGTTGTAAAATGATAAAACATAGTGTTTTGTTTCTTGCATTTTAAGCTCAGCATTAAGCTTTTCTTAAAAGCACAAAGATAATTTTTTCTTAGTTCATTATAGATACACATGATATTGGGGGTTCATTTTGACATAATTATACAAACATGGAACATGATTGGCTCCGATTCAGTTCCAAGCACTTGCCCTTTCCTGCCCCTCTTCCCTCCCCTGTTTCCTTCCCTCTACTCATCTTACTTCCATTTATTTATGTTTTTAAAACCTTAGTACATCATGGGTTTACATAAAGGAGAAATTCACTGTGGTATCTTCACATATGCACATGGGAAAGTTTGGTCACTTCATTCCACTGTCCTCCCTTAATCCATCTTTACTCTTTCCCCTGAAATCACCTTCCTATATTGTACTCATCTTTTTTCTATATTCATGGAATTCCCCCCTCCCTCTCCCTCCCTCCCTCCCTCTCTCTCTCTCTCTCTCTCTCTCTCTCTCTCTCTCTCTCTCTCCCCACCCTTATTTTGGTCTAGCTCCTGCATGTGAGAGAAATCATTCAACCCTTGACTTTCTGTGCCTGGGTTAGTTTTACTCAGCATGATATTCTCCAGTTCCATCCCTTTACCAGCAAATTCCATCACTTCATTCTTCTTTATGATGAAGTAAAATGCCATTGTATTAATATACCCCATTTTCTTTTCCATCTGTTTGTTGATGGGTACCTAGGCTAGTTCCATAGCTTGGCTATTATGAATTGTGCTGCCATAAGCATTGATGCGGCTGCATTCCTATAGTATAGTGTTTTTGGATCTTTGGGATATATGCCAAGGAATGGGATAGCTGGGTCGTATAATGATTTTGCTCCTAGTTTTTTGAGGCATCTTCATACTGCTTTTCAGAGTTGTTGTATAATTTGTAGTCCCACCGACAATATATGAGTATGCCTTTTTCCCCACATGCTCATCAACATTTATTATTACTTATATTCCCAATAATTGCCATTCTGACTGGTGAGAAGAAAACTGAATTTAATTTTTATTTGAAAACTGAATTTAATTTTGATTTGCATTTCCTTGTGTTATAGTTTGGGTATTAGCTATTCCCCCAAACCTCTCTAATGTGAGACAATGTGAGGAAGTTTACAGGTGAAATGATTGGGTTATGAAAATTTTAACTTAATCCTTGGATTAATCCACTGGAACAGATTAACTGGGTGGTAACTGTAGGCAGGTTTGGTCTTGCTGGAGGAGGTGGTCTCTGGGGGTTGCCTTTGGGGTATATATTTTGTCCTTGTTGAGCAGAAGTCACTCTCTGCTTTCTGGTAGCCATGTCCTGAGCCACTTTCTTCCACCACATTTTTCTTGCATGATGTTCTGCCACATCTTGGACAAGGAGCAATGGAGTGGCCATCTATGAACTGAGACCTCTAAAACTGTGAGACCTCTAAAACTTTTCCTCCCCTAAATTGTTCTTGTCAGTTCTTTTGGTCACAGCAGCAAAACAAAACAAAACAAAAACAAACACATAAACAAAAAACCTGATTAAAACACCCTGATTGATAGAGATATTGAACATTTCTTCATATATTTATTGACCATTTGTATTTCTTCTTTTTTAATGTTTTTTTATTAGCTACACATGACAATTCATACACGTATTTCTTCTTTTGAGAAGAATTTCTTTAGTTCTTTTGCCCATTTATTAATTGGGGCTATTTTTGGTGTTAAGTTTTTTGTGTTCTTCGTATATTCTGTATATTAATCATGAACACAAGTCCATTCATGATAATAGCAAAGAGAATGAAAGCTACAAAATACTGTTGAAAGAAACTTTAAAAGACAAATCCATGTTCATGGATTGAAAAACTTCATGTTTTTAAAATGTTTAGGGAGAGAAATGGCAGATTGGAGGAAGAATACACTTCTAGGAGTTTCTCAGCATCACTTAGGGAGTGGGAAGACTGCTCCTCGGTGAGGGGGGTTACCAGGTGAACTCACTGAAACTTGAGAGAGGTCTGTAAAAGAAACTATAGAGACACAAAGAGTCAGAAACTTTGAAGAGAATGTAAGAAATAATACATTAGCAATGATCCATCTTGTCAGGTGGTGGCCACTGAGGGGCTGGGGGAGACTACACAGTGTGACAGCAGTGTGCAGAATAAGAACAAATAAAAAAAATTGGCTTCAGGGAACCTATGGATATGAGAGGGAGACTGATCTTAATGAACACAGAATTGGTGGGGAAAGTGGTTCAGTGGGCCAGATAGCTTGGAGGGAACTGAGGTCACTGGCCCAGAAAATGACCATGAGTATGGCCTGGGAGCTGTGCATAAATGCTGCTTGGAAATGAGCAGAGACAGATCAGGAACATGAAAAGGAAGCGGCCAGCAGTCTCATATTGTGACCAGCAAGGTGTGCTGAACCAGAGTCACTGAAGTAGGCACTAATAGTATTTACCTGCTCATAGAGGCTCTGGCTACGAAGAGGAGAAAGCTCCCTTGTTGCTGGTCCCATAAGAGCCAATGGAAAGACATGCAGTGACCACACAGGAGCTTCTGCCCTCTAGGTGGATACTGGATAATTCACATTCACAGCAGGGAAGGTGAAACCTGTGGAGGGTTATGGGCTAAAGGTGAATTTTAGACAGCCAGCAGAGACCACTGGCATCTTCCCAGGAATGGGGGCATGGATCAAATCTCAAACACCCACCTAAAGAGTTCCAAAGGTTCCTCAAAGTCTAAACCCCAACGACTGGAGCATCCAGGTCAGAAGTCTGCCTCACCCACTGCAGGACTGCACCATTCACCAGCACTTCCCAACTCTTCTCCCCTGTGCTGAGAGTCGGGAAGCTGAGATTACTGCACCCAGCTGGCAGGGAGGAGCGGAATGAAAAGACATTAGACCTAATAATCCCCAGCTCTTGACCAACAGCTACAGAGCCAACAGTAAATATAAACAAGGAAAATCCATTCCTGCCAACGTTTTCCACAACCACAGCAGAAACAAGACCTTTATTTTTCATTAAGATTTTTCCTCTCTTTTTTTTCTTTTTCTTTATTGCTTTTCCCTCACATTCCCATTTTATCCATGTTTTCTTCTTTGTTTTTAAATTTTAACACTTAAAACATTTTTCAAACATCATTTCTTCATATTGGATTATATTTTTACTTTTTTATACCATGCATGATTTTTGTGAGAGTGCATGTGGATGTGTGTGAGTGTGTGTGTGTGTGTGTGTGTGTGTGTGTGATAGTGTGTGTGACAGCGTATTCTCACTGTGCATCTAGGTTTGAAAAAAAAAAATATATATATATATATACACACACACACACACATACACATTCATATAATTTACTTTCACATAATTGTTTCTTTTGGCAGTTGTTTCTTATTTGGCCTTGATTTGACAGGTGGTTTATACTTAGACCAGAATTTGAGTTTTTTAAATGTTACATTTGCTGGTTTGTTCATACCAAGGTTTTTGTTCCCCTAATCTCCCCTTCTTCACTCTACTCCCCCATCAACAGCTAAATTTCCCCATTCCCTTTTCCTCCCTTCTTCTCTTCCCCCGCTCTCCCCTTTCTCTCATTGTATTACATTCAATTAATTTTTATTCCTTCCTTATAGCTGACAATCTGACTTTCCTCTGATATTTTAAAAATATTTCAAACTTTCTTTTGCCTTCATACCTTATTTTCTCTTTACTTAAGAATCTGTAATGGGCTCAAGCGGTAGCGCGCTCGCCTGCCATGCGTGCGGCCCGGTTCAATCCTCAGCACCACATACAAACAAAGATGTTGTGTATGCCAAAAACTAAAAAATAAATATTAAAAAATTCTCTCTCTCTCTCTCTCTCTCAAAAAAAAAAATCTGTAATCCCACTAAATAACAGAATTATATAGCTTATATAATTCCCACCCCCATTTAAGTTTTTGTGATTATTCATATAGTGCATGACACCTGGTGTTGAAGGCCTGATCTCCTCACATTTTTTACAACTGTTGGTACTAATGTTAAATGCTGACCCCACCATTACTATAGAGGTGGTAATTAATATTACAGATATGAAAAATAGATATTAGACATTGATCTTAAGGCTGTACACTTGTTGCTATTCCTGGCTTCCCCTTCACACTAAGAGATGCTTAAAACTACTTGGATCACAAAATAGAGAATCTGCTGTTGATAAATACTCCAGAGCCAAGCAAAAATTAATCTCACCCATAATCTAGCCACACACCAGAGCCTTAACATTACTTCAACTGGTCAAACTGGGGAGACAAAATCCCTAAACTGACAACCAGACCCCAAGGAATAACAGCCAGAGAGAGACCTCGGGTCCCAACCCTTGACATCTACTCATATATCTAAAACAGAGAGAAGTCACAAAACAAAAAATAACAATAATAATAACTAGTCAAAGAGGCTTGCATATGAAAGAGGAAGGGGGACCTTGTTTCAAATGATAAGCAAAGTCAAGACCTCTGAAAATAATAGAAAACAGGCAAACAAATTCCCTCCCACCCCAAATTTGTAATCCCCCAACAAAGATTACACAGATATGGAAGCCTATAAAATATTGAAGAAAGATCACAAGAAAATTGATTATTAAAATGTTCAATGAACTAATCAAGAGCTAAGGAATGAATTTAGAGAGCAACATTTCAATTAAAAAAATAGAAATATTGAAAAGAAAGCAATCAGAACTCTGGAAACAAAAGAAACAATGAATCAATTTAAAAATTCACTTGAAAGCATCAACAATAGATTAGATTGCACAGAAAATAGAAATTCAGTCCTCAAAGACAGAAGTTAAGCCCTTGAAGACAGGGTGTGTGTACTTGAGAACACAATATGCAGTAAAGGGAAAAAATGATATAACATGATCAGAATATCAAGAACTCTGGGACAAAAAGACCAAACCAGAGCGTCACTGGACCAGAAGGAAACATGGAGACACAAGCTAATGGCATTAAGAATACTATCAATGAGATAGTAACACAAAACTTTCCCCGTATCAGAGATGAGCCAGATATCCACATACAGAAGTATATAGGATGCCAAATGGATCAGAAAAGAAAACACACCATAATCAAAATGTCTAGCACAGAAAATAACTACAGAATATTAAAAGCTTCAAGATAAAAACATCAGGTCACATTTGGAGGCAAACTAATAAGGCTCATGTCTGAGTTCTCAATTCAGACCCTAAAATCCAAGAGGGCCTAGAATGAGATATTCTAAACTCTAAAAGAAAACAATTGCCAGAAATAAAAACTTTCCATGACAAGGATAAACTAAAAGAATTCATAAGTACCAACCCAGCACTACAAAGAACACTCATAGATACACTGCACACAGAAAAACCCCCAAATAAATCCCAAACTCCCAAGTGGATGAAGGCCAATATAAAAGTAATCAACTAAATGAGAATAAAGACAATTAAATATAGCAAAAAATCAAACTGGCAGGAAACTACAGACACATACCCATACCAACACTGAAGATAAATGCTCTAAACTCCCCAACTAAAAGACAGAAATTAGCAGAATGGATCGAAAACAATATTAACCTATATACTATTTGCAAGAGACTCGTCTCATAGGTGAAGACACTCACAGATTAAAGGGAAAAAGGACTGAAAAAAAATCTATGCAAATGGAGTCTGAAAACAAGTCAGAGTAATTTTTCTCATATCTGACAAAGCAGATTTCAAGAAAAAATTAATCAGAAGAGACAAAGAAGGCCACTACATCCTGGTAAAGGGAACAATCCAACAAGAAATACAATGATGATAAATGTATATGCCCCAAATGTCAATGCATCCAACTACACACACAGACAAATACTTCTTGACATTAAATCTCAGATAGACCCTAATACAGTAACACTGGGTGATTTCAACACACCCTTATCATCAGTAGACAGGTCATCAAAACAAAATCAATAATGATATTTCCAACCTAAACAACACTACAAATCAAATGAGCCTAATAGGCATCAACAGAATATTTCACCCCCAAATAGCTGAATTTACTTTCTCAACAACTAATGAAAGCTTTTTCAAAAGAGAACATATGCTAGGTCACACAATAAGTTTGGAAAATGCAAAAATTTTGATGCAATTCCATGTGTTCTGTCATGGCATAATGGAATGAAACTAGAAATCAACAGCAAGAAAAATAGTAGAAAACACATAGACACATGGAAATTGAACAATACCCTTTTAAATGAAGAATGCGTCAAAGAAAAAATGAGAGAAGAAAACAAGAAATTCGTATAGAAAAGAAATGAGAACAGACATTAACAAATAGAGAGATTTCAAATAAATAATCTGATGCTCCATCTCAAGGCCTTGAAAAGAAAAAACAATCTAATACCAAAGTCAGCAGAAGACAGGAAACCACTAAAAAAGAGTCCAAGTTAATGGAATTGAGAATAAAAAAAACAGTACATAGGATCAAGCAACAGAGAATAGGTTCTTTGAAAAGATAAATAAGACTGATAAACCCTTAGCTGAACTAACATAATGAAAGACAAGACCCAAATAAACAAAATTAGAAATTTTTAAAAAATGAAATAATACCACACTTTTAAAATTCAGAGAATCATTAGAAACTATTTTGAAAATTTACACTACAATGAACTGGAAAATCTAAAAGACTTTGACAAATATATATGACATGCCCAATTGAACCAGTAAGATATAGAAACTCTAAGCAGACAAGTATCAAGTACTGAAATTGAAACAACAATTAAAAGCCTTCCAACAAAGAAAAGCCCAGGACAGGATACATTCTCAGTTGAGTTCTACCAGACCTTTAAAAAAGAACAAACACCAGTCTTCCTCAAATTATTACATGAAATTGAAAGTGAGGGAACACTCCCAAATACATTCTATGAAACCAGTACCACCCTGATACCAAAGCACATCAAGATACATCAAGAAAAGAAAACTGCAGACTAGTATTCCTGGTGATCATAGAGGCAAAAATCATTAATAAAATATTAGCAAACCACATTTAAAAAATACATCAAGAAGATAATACACAGTTATGAAGTGAGTTTCACCTCAGGGATGCAAAGTTGCTTTAACACACATAAAGCAATAAATGTAACTCACCACTTAAATAGAATTAGGGACAAGAATCACATGATTATCTCAATAGATGCAGAAAAGGCCTTCAATAAAATACAGCACCCATTCATATTAAAATGCTGGGAATAGAAGAAATTCACCTCAGTATTATAAAGGCTATTTATGAGAAACCCAAAGCCATCATTATACTGAATGGAGAAAAACTGAAAGCATTTTCTCTATAATCAGGAAAAAGATAAGGATTTTCACTCTCACCACTTAATATAATTCTCATAACACTAGCTAGAGCAATCAGGCAACAGAAGAAAGTGAAAGGGAAACAAATAGAAAAAGAAGAATTCAAACAATCTCTGTTTGCTGGTTCTGTATCTAGAACCGCTCTCCCTATAAAACAAAAATCCACCAGGAGACTTCTAGAGCTGACAAATTTAACAAAGTGGCAGAATACAAGATCAATAGCCAGGTGTCCCTCAGAAGCTCACGTGTGAGACAATGCAAGAAAGTGCAAAGATGAAATGATTCCATAATATGAGGCTTAACCAAATCAGAGCATTTAATTAATCCCCATAGGGATTAACTTGGTGATAAATCTAGGCAGGATGTGGCCAGAGGAGGTGGGTCATTGGTGGCATGCCTTTGGGGTTTGTAGTTTGTTCTTGTTGAGCAGAACTGTCTCTCTGCTTTCTAGTGCCATGTCCCCACATGCTTTCCATTGCCACACACTTCTGCAACATTATTCTGTCTCATCTCAGGCTTCAAGAAATAGATTTGGCCATCTATGGACTGAGATCTCGAAACCTTGAGCCCCCAGATAAGTTTTTCCTCCTCTAATTAATTGTTCTTATCAGGTTCAATATCTTTTACTGAGGAAGAAATCAGGAAAACCATCTAATTCACACACACACACGCACCCATATTTGGGAATCAACCTAACCAAGGAGGTAAAAGGGATCTACAATGAGAATTATAGAATACTGACTGTTTAGGAAGATGGCCGCTGCGTATGGGGGTTGCTGAAGTGCTGAGCGTGGTGCTCAGAGCAGCGGCTTTAATAGAGATTTCACACAGTCTGTTAGAGCTCCTTTCACCGTTAATCTGTAGCAGACCACTTTGCCAAGCAGCAGGAAGAACAAAGAAATCAAAAAAGAGACGCTTGGCTCCCGGACGCTTGGCTGCTCAGAGCCGCGGGCGCTTTGCTCCCATCTGCTTCCTCTTTCGCTTCGCTCCAGGCAGAGAAGCTGAATGTGTAATCAGCAGTGGATTGTAAGTACCCGAGGCAAAGAAAGCTCAGTGCGCCCCGCCTTTTTTTCTTTTTTTTTCTTTTTTTTGAATATTTTTTATACAGGGAGAGTTTGTGGATTGGGATTGTTGGCGGGGCTGTGGTTTCTGTGCCGAAAATCCACTCCGTGGGAGCCGCCATTTGCTTTCTGCTTGCTGTCTTGATGGCTCTGTATACATTGTCCAGCAGCAGCATCTAGAGGTTGGAGCTGGGCTGCGTGCCGAGCCCTGTCCTCCGAAGGCTGGACTGCAGCCTCGAGCGCCTCGGTGGCCTGTTTGCCGCTGCACCTTCGGGCAGAGCCTGCTCTGGGGTCGTTCTGCACCCCCCTGCCAGGAGACCCGTGCTCCGGAGGAGGGGGATGGAGAGCCGCGGCGGCAGCCGCTTGGGCCCCAGGGGCCGGGCACCGGGCTGAAGAGCTGCGGAGGCCAGGGCGGCTCTGCTACGGTCACAGATGATCGCGGCGCTGGTGAGCGCGGCCCAGAGACGGAGGCGACGGCGGCAGGGTTTCATTTCTAGAAATCTGGACTGGAAACAGAAGCAGCAGTTTGTATAATCCCAAGAACTTGCTTATGCCAGGAAGCTGTAAGGGCAACATGAATATCATTGAGGAGATCTAACATGGTGGCAGGCGCAGAGAGATCAAGTCTCTGACATCTTCAACTGCGCGGGCATAGGGAGCCGTAAACTGTCTAAATGCTGTTTGCTCAGGATCACTAGGCAATGCTGAGCTGACATGGATCTGGGGTGTACAGGCTGGGCCCCTCAGAACACACACACAGAGCCCGAATCGGAGGCAATTAAGCTCCGGTTCGCCGGCTTCGTGTGACTCAGCACTAACGATCCCGCTGAAATAATTGGCCGGCCCTTAGGAACTTACAGAGGTAAAAGCCAACCGAGCCTTCATAGGCAGTGGCCACAGGACTGAAACGGGGATTGGGAGAGACAGTCAGGACCCACCCGTTGCATTGGTCACCCGGCAAAGGGAACGAACAGTCACCATTTGCATGGGATACCACCATGGCAGAGAAATGGCGTCACGGGCGGAGGAGATAACTGCATTGAAACCAGCGCGACAGGTGTGTAATCCCCTAGTCATCTCTCTCCACACAGCAGGGAAACCTTAAGGGCCACTCCCAGCTCTCCTGTGAACGCAATAACCAGACCCAGGGAATCAGGAGTGGCGCGGGACTCGTGGCGCGGAACTCCCGACTACTGCTCCCACCAGTGCTGACAACTGAGGTCTCTTGCACCAGCTACCGGGGGCGTGGCTACAGGAGGGCAAGCAAATTCGCTGGGGGATCTCAGCCCCAAGCTCTACAAACTTGGGTCTCAGGGAGGCAAACAGGGAGAGTGAGCCCAGGTGTTCATGAAAACAGGGCTCCCAAAAGCAGCAGACCTGGCGTGTAGCCAGTATTGTGGTGAGCGCCACAGGTGAGCATGGCCTGGCTTGAGGAAACACAAGACAAGGCCCTAGACACTCAGGATTGGAGACCCGCCCAGTCTAGGAGAAAGAGCTGCTGCACAGTGAATGGTTGCCACCTATTGAGAGGAGAAGCTTGGCCCAGTGGGCACAGCTCCACCTACTGGAAGAGAAGTTAATAGAACTCTAGGACTGCATTTATTATTATTATTATTATTATCATTTTTTTTCTTTTTCTTTTTTTTTCTTCTTTTTCTTTCATTTTCAATTTTTATTTGTTGTTGTTCTTTAACTTTTTTTCAATGTTTCTAATTTTTTTTTAATTTTTTTATTTTATTATTATTATTATTTTTTAAATTTTAATTTTCATTTTTTTATTATCATTATTATTTTTGTTAAAATTTTTTTTGTCTTTTCTTTCCTTCTTTATTATCTAATCTTTGTTATTTTTGTTTCTTTTGTCTTTTCATTTCTTTTCAATTTTCTTATCCCCCCTTCCTTGAATTCTACCTGCCTACTCTCATTCTCTTTAGTGACTTCTTCCCTTCCCTTCTAATATCTTTCCTCCCAAGCATCAAATAAATCTATAAGAGTAAACAGTAACTCAGCAGTCAAACAGAACAAGAAGTAACATGAGCAGCATAAAAAAGCAAGGAAGAAAAGGAGTACAAACAATGAAGGACAGCCTAAATATTCAGGAGGACCTAGAGTCAGCAGAAAAATGGTCATATAAAGAACTCAAGGAATACCTTAGACAGATGGAATGGAACCTTAAAGAGGATACGAGACAGCAAATCCAAACAGTGAAAGAACACTTTGAAAATGAATTACATAAACAGATAAAAGAAGAAGTTAAGCATCTTTATCAGGAGATAGAGATTATAAAAAAAACCAAACAATAATTCTAGAAATGAAGGAAACGATAAACCAAATTAAAAACTCAATTGAGAGTATCACTAACAGAGTGGAGCAAGTAGAAGCCAGAACATCAGATAATGAAGACAAAATATATCATCTTGAAAAGAGCCTAGCCAACTCAGAAAGGCTGGTTAAAAACCACGAGAAAAACATCCAAGAGATATGGGATAACATAAAAAAACCAAACCTACGAGTCATCGGGATAGAAGAAGGTACAGAGATTCAAACCAAGGGGATGAGTAACGTGCTGAATGAAATAATTACAGAAAACTTTCCAGAAATAAAAAAGGAAACGGATATACAAATTTTAGAGGCATACAGGACACCGAGCACACAAAATCACAGTAGACCAACGCCAAGACACATTGTTATGAAGATATCCAATATACAGAACAAAGAGAAAATATTAAAAGCTACAAGAGAAAGGAGGCAGATTACATTCAGGGGTAAACCAATAAGGTTAACAACGGATTTTTCATCACAGACGCTGAAAGCAAGAAGATCCTGGAACAACGTATTTCAAACACTGAAAGACAATGGATGCCAACCAAGAATTCTGTATCCAGCAAAATTAAGCTTCAGGTACGACAACAAAATAAAAATCTTTCATGATAAACAAAAGCTAAAAGAATTTGCAGCCAGAAAGCCAGCATTGCAAAGCATCTTGAGCAAAACACTACACGAGGAAGAAATGAAAAACACTAACCAAAACCATCAGTGGGAAGTGCCTCTATAAAGACAGAGGGTGGGGGGAAAGCTAACCATGGAGAAACAAACTAAATTAAAAAAAAAGAAGAAGATAAATAATCAAACATGGCTGGAAGTACAAACCATATATCAATAGTAACTCTAAACGTTAATGGCTTAAACTCTCCAATAAAGTGACATAGGCTGGTAACATGGATTAAAAAAACAAATCCAACAATATGCTGCCTCCAGGAGACACATCTGATTGCAAAAGACATACACAGGCTGAAGGTAAAAGGTTGGGAAAAAATATACCACGCACACGGTCCTCGTAAGCAAGCAGGGGTGGCCATCCTCATATCGAATAAAATTGACTTCAAGACTAAATTAATCAAAAGGGATAAGGAAGGACATTATATACTGTTAAAAGGAACCATTCACCAACAAGACATAACAATTATCAATATTTATGCACCAAATAATGGTGCTGTGACGTTCATAAAACAAATACTCCTCAAGTTCAAGAATCAAATAGACCACAACACAATAATTATGGGTGACTTCAACACACCTCTCTCACAATTGGACAGATCCTCCAAACAAAAGCTGAATAAAGAAACTATAGAACTCAATATCACAATCAACAACCTAGACTTAACTGACATATATAGAATATATCAACCATCATCAAGTGGATATACTTTTTTCTCAGCAGCACATGGATCCTTCTCAAAAATACACCATATATTATGCCATAGGGCAACCCTCAGTAAATATACAGGGGTGGAGATAATACCATGCATTTTATCTGATCATAATGGAATGAAACTGGAAATCAATGATAAAAGAAGGAAGGAAAAATCCTACATCACATGGAAAATGAACAATATGTTACTGAATGATCAATGGGTTACAGAAGACATAAAGGAGGAAATCAAAAAATTCTTAGAGATAAATGAAAATACAGACACAACATATCGGAATCTATGGGACACAATGAAAGCAGTTTTAAGAGGGAAATTCATCGCTTGGAGGTCATTCCTCAAAAAAGGAAAAACCAACAAATAAATGAGCTCACACTTCATCTCAAAGCCCTAGAAAAGGAAGAGCAAAACAACAGCAAATGTAGCAGAAGGCAA